AATTGCCAGGATATCTTCATTTGTTCTTCTTGCCTTTCAAGAAACTCTCAGCATTCTTCAAATCATCCACATTTCAAATGCCTTTAATTTCTTTTCAATATTTGCATTCATTGTCCAACACTCTGCTTCATAAAGCAGGGTAGACCAAACATAACATTTTGCCAACCTAACTCTTGTTTTTATACTAATCTCCCTTGAAGTCAACACTTGTTTCACGTTTGTAAATGCAGTCCTTGCAATTCCAATCCTTTTTCCAATATTTGCTTAGACTGACAATAAAATTACTGAAACATATTCAAAGTGTTTACAAACTTTCAGCCATGATTGTACAACATTAACCAAATAGACCTATGCCTTAATCGTAAAGTTCATCAATATTTTCTACAAAAAAAATACAAAAAACTAATATATTTAGTATGATAATTTGTAAGAAATTTTCTAATAATTAAATATAAGAATTAATTATATATNCCTAAAAGTTTGACGATGGTGTTTGGAATGTCGAGCGTGATTCCACCGACTATCCAAACACCATTGTCAAACTTTTAGGCTTACGGGAAAGCGGCGCCGAACGTCACACGTACACGTTTACATGTTTAAAACGTGCGCCTCAACCTCTCTATTATAATTATGTAAATAGCAGATACTTTAAAATGTTTAAGCATAAAAAAATTGAAATATTCTATTGTTTGTTTCAAAAGAGAGCATTATTCATCTCTTTTTAAGATTTACAAAAGAGCATTTGAGAGGAAAAAAAAACAATAGAAAATGGTTCTATATAAAGTAACAAAGTTTGTATAATTTATTCTTCTAAATGTATAAAATATTATAAAAGTAAACACTGATTTTTACAAAAAAACATTATTTCTAAAAGCAATTATGAATATTACTTTTATTCACCTCAACCACATGACATTTTGATGTTACACCCATCTTCAAAATATATCATTGTATAAAAAATATAAATAAAATATTAATATTCTGATTTATATGCACAAGTGCTTCAAAACATTACAACAAATTTATTTTTAAAATCAGTGTTGATAGCTTTTTTATTATTAATTTTATATAAAAAAAGACTAATTTTAGCATAGCTTTAAATAAATCCTTGATATATTCAATACATAAAATATGCTATCATCACCTTTTTCAGCATCTAAACAAAAAGATTTTTTAGCTAATCTTTACCTATGTGCACCGTCATGGCCACACAGTGGGACCCAAGTTCTAACCTAACCTAACCTATTCTGATAAATTACGAAATTATTGGGTCCCACTGTGCAGCCATGACGATGCACATACGTAAAGATTGACCGATTTTTTTAAACTGTTTAATCTGAGGTTACAAATCAATAACCTGGCATATACAATATAAATAATCTAAATGAACAGATAAGTATATCTTTACATAAATACATACATTCAATAATCTTTATAGTAAATGACATAAAAATTTAATGAATAAATCAGTATATATGTATATATAAAATTAAGCCAATGCTTACAATCATCAAAATTTCAAAATCATAAATTAAAAAACAGCAGAATATTCAAATTTTATAATTAAGAATAAAATGTATATATTAGTAGGTCATAAGTATACAATTTAATTAAATAAATAATTACTTTAACATTAGTTTGTTGTGTGCGCGCACACAGTGTCCATTGAAAAGTGTTACAAGCTAATAACTCAAGAACAATTTGACTGATGCAAACTGCCTTTTTTTCTACTTTTTATCATTTCAAAGGAACTTCATAACAGTAATTTATGATAAAATTATGTTGCTTCTCACTCTCTTAATAGGAAACCAGTAACAACTTTAAAATTTCAAATGTTTATTTCAATGCTATGAAAAAAGACAAACTGAAGTATTTCTTTTTAATGTGCTTCTATTAAAATAATTAAATAAATTGAAATAAATAAATAAAAAATTGGAAAAAAGTTTTTATATTTACATTTTAAGTTGGAAGAGAGTCCAAAGATCGGCATTATATGAACTATTGAATGAGATATGCAATTTATTCTGCAATAATTATCTTATTAATCCTAATGATAATATATTTATGATATGATTCTTAAATGTATAATCAAGAATTATAATATGAAAATAAAAAATGCATTTTAACATATTTTTGCCTACTAAAACACATTACATCCAATATTGCATAACAACTCGTAACCTATTTAACATGAAAGAGATCAAATCTGAAATAGGCCTAGCATTTACATCAGAAATTTGCAGGTTTAAATGTACAAACTAAGCCTATTTTGAATTTTCATATAATTAAAATAATTACAAACTGAAAAACAATTATGATTAATATATAAATGCTTGAAGCAAGTAGTAATTTGTATAAAACCAGAATAATTATGAGCATTTACTGATGAGCATTATCAGTGTAAGTTATATTCTAAATGAGAAAAATAAATAAAATGGTTATCCTCAGGTTGTATTAAGGCTAATTTTAGTAATTAAATTTTTAAAATTAGCCTTAATATAAACAAATAATCCAGCAGTTCATTCGGTTTTAATAAAAAATTCAGATTATTGGATTGAATGTTTATTCTTCACTATTATCTTTATAAATGCTCATTATGAAGTTTGTAAATAACCAATAAAGTTCTTCAATATAGGAATACAATCAAGGATTACATAAATGTAATTACTGTATCCCTAAAACATGCAATAGAGCATAATAATCCATAACCTATTTAATATATGAAAGGGATTAATTTGAAATAGGCCTAGTTCTTACATATGAAATTTGCAGATTTAAAATATAAGAACAAGGTCTACTTTGAATTTGAATGTAATTAAAAGAATTACAATTAAAATATTAAATATCTTCAGCAGCTTCTATAAAACCAAAATAATTTATCTATATATAAAGTAAGAGTATCTAGAAACAAGCATTATACTGCACAAGTTAAATTCCAAATGGAGAAAATATTGNACAATCAAGGATTACATAAATGTAATTACTGTATCCCTAAAACATGCAATAGAGCATAATAATCCATAACCTATTTAATATATGAAAGGGATTAATTTGAAATAGGCCTAGTTCTTACATATGAAATTTGCAGATTTAAAATATAAGAACAAGGTCTACTTTGAATTTGAATGTAATTAAAAGAATTACAATTAAAATATTAAATATCTTCAGCAGCTTCTATAAAACCAAAATAATTTATCTATATATAAAGTAAGAGTATCTAGAAACAAGCATTATACTGCACAAGTTAAATTCCAAATGGAGAAAATATTGAATATAATAATATGCTTTTTCTACTCTTATCTTTATAAATGTCCAATAAAGTTCTTAAATATAAATCAAGGATCATATAAAGGTAAACATGTCCAAAACTTGCAAAATAGCATAATAATCCATAACCTATTTAACATATGACTGAGACTAAATTTGAAGTAGACTTTCTTCTTACATCTGAAATTTGTTGATTTAAAATGTAAGAACAAGGCCTGTTTTAAATTTGCATATAATTAGAATATTTAATAATTGAAGTCAGCAGCAGTTTCTAGAAAACCAAAATAATACACACACATATATATATAAGCAAACAAAAGAATCTAGAGAAGAGCATCATCAGGATTTAATTTTGGGAAAGCAGAGTTGGATAGATAAAGAAATTTTGGTAAATGTTCACCTAGGTAACTCTAAACAGCAGCACCTCCATTAACGGGGCACCAGTCATTTTCACTACATTTTAAGCAAAATCAATGTTTTATTTCGTATTTTTTGCATAAATCACACCACCCTCACAATTGTTGACCCTTCACACGATGTTTGTCTCTGAAGGTCAGTATACTGCACAAATTATATTCCAAATGGGAAAAATACCTATCTTACATGTAGACGTGCACCTCGGTGCTTGCTATTGCTCACACCTCAGCACCCAGATAGGGGCAAGCCCCCACACCCCGATAAAACTATATAACATCAAGTACTCCACAAACAGTCAAGTGGGCTACTCAAAGCTGGCATAGTTGTATGGGCTAAACTTTTAAACACGATACCGCCATTAGGGCTACCTAGGTGAACATTACTAAAATTTTTTAATGAGAATTCAATAAAATTTCCACCTTTATGCGACTGCCAATTCATTAGTAGTAAAGAAATAGAAGACACGACACAATATAAGTGAAAAAATGAATTTTAAGAAAATAATTTTGGATAAATTTTTAGTGTTCATTTTTCTTTGTTTTTTTTTGGAGGATGCCCATTGGTCCCCCAAGCGCACCACCATCATACTGCACCTGTAATAGTCAAAACCAGAACTACCACAGTATATAGACTGTGATATATATGATCTAAAGACTGTGGACTTCATATATTGTGGTATAAGACACTGAACATACCTTAAGGTGTGTTCAGTGTCTTTATATCATAATGCACAAGTTATATTCCAAATGGGAAAAATATTGAACAAATAAATATACTTATTCTTCTCTATTATCTTTATAAACATCCAATAAAGCTGTAAAATACAGAAACTAAGGATTACATAAAAGATAAACATGGCCAAAACATGCAACATAGCATAATAATCTATAACCTATTTAACATATGAAAGAAACTATCAGTTTAATGTAACTACTTTCATAATTATAGTTTATTAATTTGTTAAATTTAATTTATAGCAAAAAAAAATAATAATAATACTTTCTTTTCCTCTAGTTATTCAACAGGTATTTATTTATTTATTTATTTATTTTTATTTTTAAAGGTCCTTTACCACATATTTGTAATCATTGTGTAATCACAGCACAGGATGATGTAAACATTAGAAAATTATGTTAAAATACTAATCTAAGGCTGCATTTCTGCATTAAAACAAAGTGGGGGGGAAAAATGGCAATTTAAATGATAAATAATACAATTATAAAGGAATCTTTTCTTGTTTTTCCCTTCTAAACTGGAAAATTTATAATTATAAAGTAAATATTACGTTTAAACATCGTTTGAATAATCAAACTTACGTATAAAATGCCTTTCTTTTCGCTTAGTAAATTGACATTTTGTCGATTTAATTATTTGATTTTTCACATCTGCAGCGACCACAAAGGACACGAAGAAAAAGCCGCGCGTGGCTCCCTCTCGAGGATAAAACCGAATTAAATCGAAATTTAATTATTATTATTATTATATATAAATATTTTTTTTCCCCTTTCTTAATCGAAAGACGTTACGATAAATAAATTATTAAAAATTTAACGTAATTATTTTTATACGTGCCTAAATACGTAACTGGTCGATCTCGAATGGAAAAATGTTAAAATATTTTTATCGATCGTGGTCGATTGCGCCATTGACACGCGAGGGGTGGGAAAATGACTTCTTGTAATAAAAAGAGAACTTTATTAGAGAAATTCTCTATTCCGATCGAGCATTTAGATTTTAAATATATAGAAAGTTGTTCGGATGTTGTGGAAATTAGCCGTATATTAAGAATATTGAGGTCGGGAGAAGAAGGTTTCTACCCGCAATTGACCGAAAGGTGCGAACAACGCCTACAGCAATTAGATCCAAAGAATAAGCTGTTACGTCATCTAACTCCCGCCTGTCATTCGTCCGAATTACCAATTGATCAGAAGGAAAGTCTCCTTCGAGACTTAGAGAAATCAATCGATCAAATGAAGATACTGGAAGGAGAATTGCGAAAACATAATCAAGATCTATGGGAATTACCGGATATCCGTAGAGCGGAAGCGGTTATTAATCCCAAAAATAAAGAAAATGCTAGTAAAATAAAAAAAATAAAACCCTCTACTTACGCCGAGTGGGATAGGTTCGACGTGCAGGAAGAACTGGATAAATTGGACAACGAGAAGCCGCATTCGACGGTCGCCAAATCCAAAATCGGCCTCGCCGTCGACGGTTGGGATGCGAGCAGAGAAGAACGTTCGCTTATAGCCGAACACGAAAGACTTAAAGGAAACGAGGCATACGCCGCGGGAGATTACGAAGAAGCCAAGCTGTATTACGACCGGAGCCTGTCTGCCGTTTTAGATCCCGTCACTCTCAATAACAGAGCCCAGACGTATATTAAGATGAAGAATTATAATGCCGCCGTAGAAGATTGTAATCAAGTTTTATTACACGAACCCAAAAATATTAAAGCGTTGTTAAGAAGGGGAACCGCTTATAAATGTAACTTGAATTATGAAGATTCTCTAAAGGATTTCGAATCGGCATTAGAATTGGAGCCGAATAACCAAATGGCACAAAAGTCGGTTTTGGAAATGAGAAAGAATTTATTGCAAAATAAACAAGAACAAAAAACAAGACTTTTAATTGAAGAAATATAAATTTCTTATTGTTTAATATTTATTTATTTATTTATTGTAATTTATTAACTTGGCAAGTAGCCGATATTTATGTTTTAAAACACTATAATCTATATATATTGTTATTTTTACATATTTAATATAATGTTATTCTTGACATAGTACTTCTTTAATTAAATTATAAAAAATTATTTTATTTTCATGCGTAATTTTTGTGAGACACGTTAAAAGAAATGCAACTACTAAATAACAAATGCCTACTCTGGAAGAGAAAGGATGGGAATTTACAAGTAGAAAATAAAAGTGGAAAGAATTCTCATACTCGGTTTGCAAGGTTAATTGCAACTTCTTGCTGGATACTTGCTGTTGCTATCAGTGGAAATTTCGATCACGAGAGAGGAAAAAGATTCATAGTGAAAGTTTTAAAATATTAATTGAAGCAAACAAAACAATAAATTACTATTTCGAGTTCATAATTAAAAAGTAAATTCAGTAATTTAGGCATTCTCTAAATCAGTTGTGAGCAGCCTGCAGGCAGCATTTGTCCTGTGAGGTCCTAATATGTGACCACAGGCATTTGGTAAAGTAATTTTGGCCAAAGACCTGTGGTCACATATTAACAACTCTGATCGCACCAGAAAAATTTTTATCGAATACCTGAAGGAGGTCCTAGGATGGATTGAAAACATTAGTGTTACGTTTCTAAAATTAACTGCAAAGCTATACAAGGTTAGTGCAATGTATTTGTATTTATTATCTCTTTGTTTGTCGGATGGATTTGAAATTAATTTCATTTTGTTTTCTGTCTCAGGAAGCAGAAAAATAAAATTGGAAGTGCTGGATGTCCTTGTCTGTTATTGAAATGAGAAAGGTTGTGATTTGTCCTTTATTTTCATTTTTCGATGCCTGTGTTTTGTAATGGTAGTGGCAGATTTCTGATCCTTGATTTAGGATTCTTGTACAGTATATCAATCCATAACCTGCCTCATAGAATGGCCTGCCAGTGGCTGAGTCGATAAACCACCAAACACTGATAGTTGGTCATGGGTTTGTGCCTGACCAATAGGCTGGCTGCGTGGAGTTTTCTGGGTTTTTCTCACATAGATCTATTTCCCATAGAAAGGCACCCCATTTGACAAATTGCCCATGTGTTGAAATGCCTTAGTCCATGAAAAATCAATATGAAAACTATTATGTTTAAATTAAAATCTAAAAAAATATAAACAGAATCTATAGATATTAACCAAAAATCATTCAGTTTTATTTTTTATGATGGGATGAGATGGAGTGAAAATTAGTGTGGTAGTATTAATCTTTTTAAGTGTATTTTAATCCAGTCTCAGAAAGTTAGAAACCATAGCCTCAAGGCGTTATCTGATCCTAGTTAAGCCGACATTCATGATGAACATTCAAAGCAAACATGATCAATAAAAGAAGTAGGGCAAAGAAAGTTTCCATAGGCTATATGTAAATCATTCATGGTGTATGATTTTGACTTCGGGATAGCTGGACCAAAGTCTTATAAATAAAATCAAACCCTCAGAGCTGTATAAAAGAACAGTTTAAGAAATTGGAATATTGTTGACTTTAATATAATGGAAGTTACCAAAGCAGTTAGCAAGTTTTTATATAAGAAAGTGATTGTATTCTGCAGTTTGCAAGTCAGAATCACTCGTTATTATGCAACGTAATCTATAGGAGCTTTAATACTGTGGCTGCTATGGGAGGAGTGACGACAGATATACATACCATAACAAAGAATTTGAGTGTCATATGCATGCCATATGACACGAGGCATGCGCATTGAGAATTTGTAATGGGCAAATGTAAAACTTGGACAGTTTTCCAATGTTTTAATATATATTATAACATTCTTGGATAATAATTAATATAATTACAATAATTTAAAATTCATTCTTTTTTGGAAGATACTAAATTAATAAAACTTAAGATCCATAAAATGTTAAATTTAATATTTATATTTAGAATTGTTTATCCAGAATTTTTAATGGAGATTAGCATTTAATACAAATAACATGTGCAATATAATGTTACTTTGTTTATTATATTCTGATAAAAACAAGATGAGATGATAATATTACAGGATGAAATATTCATTTAGATAAACAAGTGGTTTAGTTTAGTCATTTCAATAATACTGTTGACCTTTGATTTTATAAATCCCATATTAACAGATTTCAAAAACAACAGATCAAATCATCTTGTTTCAACATATCTGTCAAGGTAAAAACTTGGTATTTGAGAGCATGGAATGTCCACTTGGCAGGCATAGTTGTTCTTTACATTTCTGCTAGAAAATGTTTTTTTTTACACCTATACTAAGCACAATATATTCTCTTATTGGATGTCTTTGATAGAAATTTCACATTGTCAAAACATTGCTTTCCTTTATTAATCTGTTATATCAAAGTTTGAAAATATATTTACTTTGATTCATTCCTTTTTAGTAGCTGTTGAAAATTGGCTTACAGTAGAAACTTGTTTTAATGGATCGCTTTGAACAATGGATTTCTCAGAATAATCGACTTTTTCCAAGGTCCCACCAAATTATGTAATTTCACCTCCTCTTAGTGAATCCGTAACTCAGGATTTTTTTTTAGCCCCATCTATTGTAAACTTAGTGTCTTTTTTTTTCAACATTTAGTTAATATTTGGATATTTCGACAATGCACTTGTTACATCTGGGATATGTACAATTGTACAGAGAATTGGCAGACTGATACAATTGAGGAGCAGCCAACTAATAAACATTCTTATTCTAGTCAAAGTGAAGTGCTGAAATTTAGCAAGGCCTTCAGTGTTTCCAAACTGTAGAAACCTTGACAAGTTTCAGCATAAACAAACAGACTGTACAAGACATTGCTAATATCAAGCCATTATTGTATTCAATAGACAGAAAAGTGGCATGAAAACAAACCGAGACAGACAAGTTTTTTAAACAGTGAATTGCTAATGAGAAGACATAATTCACCTTTTTTTGTGCTTACAGTATATATAGTTTCCATCAGCTTTGTCATACACTCCTATGGCATAATATACAATCTTGTACCATAGGTGTTTCTATAGAATATACATACCAAGAGACAATTTCACGTACTGATATTTTTTGCATGTAGGGAGTTAAAAAAAAAATGAAAATTTTTACAGATATTTTCCTGGTTGTGTGGAAAACCGATTCTTCATAATATGATGGATTATTCAAACATTATGATTTTTGTCAGCCTAAATAAAAAGTTAATAACTCATTTTGACTTATTCTCCAAAACCAATTACACAGACAAGAAGATACCATCATACTAGAAATTTCTTAGTATTTAAGATAATTAGCTGAAATATAGAATTGAACTTTTATTATTATACTTCGTTAAAGACGATCTTTGTAACTTTCACTATATAATATTCACTATCAACCTATAAATACTTTCAATTTGACTTTAAATATGAAGATTGTAAGAAAGCAAGAGAATTTGATTTATGCTTATATTATTGAATTTCAGAAGTTGAATGTTGTTAGCTTAATGCTTTCAGCTATAACTTCGTTTGCTTAATCTCAGTGAAATTTCCACGATAAACAGAATTTGTTCCACTAAATATGTTAGTTATATTCATAGAGAATTTTAGATTTATTCTTATAAAAAAGGATGTTGGTGAAGACAAATTAAGCAACAGCTTATTTTTTTGTAAGTATGAACACCAGCAGTATATGCAAGAATTTTCTTCTAGATCCTTTAGGAAGGAAGGGAGGAACTATAGAAGAAACCTTTAATTATCGATTAATGACTGAAGATTCAACAATTACACACTGACCAGCAGAAGAAAAGTCTACTTTTGACAATGTTCTTTTTATACACTGCTGATTTGCATACTACACAAAGCTTACAAGAAATAAGTTTTTGCTTAACTTGTGTCTCTACCAACATCCATTTTATAGGAATAAATTTTAAATAATTCTCTATTTATAAATAGACTAAAATATTTATACTAATGGAATGTAATTCCATTTATTATGCAAATGTTCTATGAGATTATGCAAATGAACTCTAGCTGAGAAGTGTGAGATCTCAATATGGCTCAATTCATGAAGCTCAAAATAATTGAAAGAAAAATGGAAAGTAATGTAAGTAACTACATTAAGTATAGTATAAATCAAAAATTTTCTGTTCTCATTTTGCTATAAATAAGAAATTTTTTGATGAAAAGAAAATTAAAATGTTTCTGTAAAATCTATTAAGGGATATATATGTAGGTTAGTATTTCAGTGAACACTGTTCTTAAGTCAAAAGATAATTTTAATGAAATACTGGAAAAATGATATGAAAATATTTAAAAATATACATATAAGTAAATAATAACTATAAAACTTCTTAGAGCAAATTACATATTGTATGAATGTTTTTGATTCATTTTGAATAAATTAATGACAATTATGTAGATAGAGTACCACTTTTTGATTTTCCAAAATAAGGATAAGTATATGCATGATGGTGATACATATGTGGGGAGTTGGGAATCAGTCTCCCATTTAATGCACCACAGGCAAAATGTTTTCAAGGAATATCTTGCGATACCTTCCAGAAAAGCTCTTTTCATAAGCTTCTCTATGATATGGATGAGAAACACTAGGTAATTAGTGTTTCTCATCCATATCATCTCGGACCATATCATCCCAACCATATCATCCATATCATCTCGGACCATATCATCTCAACCATATCATCCCGGACTGTCTGGGTGAAAACCTGTCCGGTTTTCACCCAGACAGTCCGGGAATCGACTCACTGTCCAGGTGAACTACTAATTTTGTCCAGGAATATCGTACGCAACCTGTCAACCTTTTTTTTTTCTTTTTTATTTTTGCTTGTACGATTTGTATTCATACACGTCTCCAATATCCAATAGAGCTAAGTCATCTGTAGTTGTATTTTCTTAATTTAGTTACTTACGTTACTCCTACCCAAGTCTCCCTAGTCCCTAACTGTAACAATTTATCTTATTCTGTCAATATAATTAGTGAGATCTATTTAATTTCTTTCATCTTTGTTGTTACATATGAATAAAAGTAAAGAT